CAAAGTTATTTGAATGCTGTTTTTATCTTGATATTTTGTCAGCCACTCAGAGTAGATTCCCCATTCTAGACGGGCGGGGTAAAAATGGAATAAATAAATAAATAAATCCAGCTGGAGAGGGAAATTAAGACACCACATATGTTTTCAGGAATCGTTCTTAGGCCAGGCCTGCCCCCAAACATTCTGCTGCTGAAGGCAAAATTCAAAATGGCACTGCCCTCCCATTCCACATAAAAAAGAGGCCCACTCAGGCATCCATTAATCATGTGGACTTCACATGTGAGGGGAGGAGATTCCAACACATGGTAATGCCAGTAGGGGTTCTGAGATATGTGAGATATTTAAGGAAAGGTTTTACAAGGGCAACCCCTCAGTGAGCTTCTGTGGCTGAGCAGGGATTTGAACCTGGGTCTCTTGAGTCCTAGTCCAATACATTGTCCACTACAATAGCTGACTCTCAGCTTTTTTTTTTTTGTTTTGTTACTTTCTTTATGCAAAAGTGACTGTCTGAAGTGGAGACCCTGCAGTAACCATGGAAGCTGTACATGTTAATTAGAATGTTTGCATGTTCTGGCTTGCACGCAAGTCGAAACATCGGAAGAGCACAGGGTTCCTGTACCTTTAAACCGCCGCTTAAATAATGATAATTGTGTTCCATCAAGCTGATTTTGACAGTGACCCTTTCCCAAGTTTTCTAAGCAGAGAATATTCAAAAATGGTTTACTATTCGGTTCTTCTGGGGGGCACCTCTTGGACTGTGTGGTTGGCCCATGGCTCTTCTCTGGGGAGACACACTGGGGAATTTAACTCCCAATTCTTGGCTCAGTGCTTCTCCAACATGGCTATCCAGCCAGCAATGGTTGCTTAAAATACAGTGGGGTCTTGACTTAAGAACGGCCCGAGTTAAGAACATTTTGACTTAAGAACCACTCTCATAGGAAAATATTGACTTGACTTACATACTTAGATTTGAGTTAAGAACTGAAAAAAACCCATGTGGGAGGCAGGGAAAGTGCAAAATTTGAATTTTCAG